GAAGAAGAAGAAGAAGAAGAAGAAGAAGAAGAAGAAGAAGAAGAAGAAGAAGAAGAAGCAGCAGCAGAAGAAGAAGAAGCAGCAGAAGAAGAAGAAGCAGCAGCAGCAGAAGAAGAAGCAGCAGCAGCAGAAGAAGAAGCAGCAGCAGCAGCAGCAGAAGAAGAAGAAGCAGCAGCAGCAGAAGAAGAAGCAGCAGCAGCAGCAGCAGAAGAAGAAGCAGCAGCAGCAGCAGCAGAAGAAGAAGAAGCAGCAGCAGCAGCAGCAGAAGAAGAAGAAGAAGAAGCAGCAGCAGCAGCAGCACCAGCAACAGAAGCAGAAGAAGAAGAAGAAGAAGAAGAAGAAGAAGAAGGAGAAGAAGAAGAAGAAGAAGAAGGAGAAGAAGAAGAAGAAGAAGGAGAAGAAGAAGGAGAAGGAGAAGAACCTCATCTTGATCAGGTTTTCTAATCCAGTTTCCTTTGTTCCAGTGAGCAAATGCAGAGATGCCCCTTGTCTTACTTCTGGAATTAATGCAGGTTCACTATCTGCACCTTTTATTGAGCTCTGATTTTGCTGGTTGAGGTAGAAGTAGAGACAGGGGAATGGTTTGCTATTTTGTTACCAATACTATAAAATCAAACCTTTAATACTTTTACCAATGCAAATAACTTGGGAGTGAAAATGTCTAGTTTTTCAAATATTGCTAACCACTGAAACTTACACAAACTTTGTTGGTACATTATTCGTCACTCAACTGTTCCTAAAAGGTGAGGTAGGGATTCTAGAGCTGAAGGAAACAGGCCTGTATTATATTTCTCCCAAAAATCATGTAGTTTTTACTATTTATTGATAAAAATAAATCAAAACATGTTTTCTCTAAACCAATTTCATTGAATATCAGAGTCAACCTTTGCATGCCATAGCAAGAAGGAATAAATGTCCAGAAAATTAAGTGTGGTTCTATATAGCCTCTCCAATTCAATTAACCATAGGTTTTTAATTTCAACTGTAGAGCACACGCAGATAAAGCTGTTTTAAATAGAATTCACAATGAAATTTCATAGAAGTAGCTCAACTAACTCTGAAAGACCGGAATTAAACATTTACAAAAGATTTACAGCTTTCTGATAATAAAAATCAATGAAATAAAGATACGAAAGAAATTCATAAAAGAAGAACATTCACAAGGTCAACTAGAATAATGTTCACTCTCACCTGCTTGCAAGCGTCTTCTTCGACACAGGAATATGCCACCCAATATCAGCCCAAGCACAGCAAGGCCTCCAAGTACTGGCCATAAGACAGTGAAGAGTTGTCCCTTAGCGGCATTGGCTTGGCCAGACGCAGCCTCATCTGTCTCGGTTGATGGGGGTTCTTCCGTAGGAGCAGCTGGATGAACACAAAACAAAAAATTAGAGACCATACAAAACCACACACAGCTGTGAAGACAAGCTCTCTGCATAAGGATAAAGGTGTGAATCGTTATTCATATACATTTTCACATGTAAATTAGGACTTGGGAGGCCAAGGTATATTGTGATTTATTTCACACAGAAGGAAGAAGAATCAATCAGAAGAAGAAGAAGTAGCAGAGGGAAGAAGTAGCAACAAAGAGAAGAAAATGAAGAAGAAAAAGAAGAAAAGAAGAAAAGAAAAAAAGAAAAAGAAGAAAGAAAAAGAAGAAAAAGAAAAAAGCAAAAGAAGAAAAGAAGAAGAAAAGAAGAAAAAGAAGAAAAGAAGAAAAAGAAGAAAAGAAGAAAAAGAAAAAGAAAAAGAAGAAGAAGAAGAAGAAGAAGAAGAAAAAGAAGAAAAGAAAAAAGAAAAAGAAGAAGAAGAAGAAAAAGAAGAAAAGAAAAAAGAAAAAGAAGAAAGAAAAAGAAGAAAAAGAAAAAAGAAGAAAGAAAGAGAAGAAAAAGAAGAAAAGAAGAAGAAAAAGAAGAAGAAAAAGATGATGATGACACTGAAAAAGAAGGAATGCTATTTAACTTTTCATTAGGGAACTTACGAAGTGTTTTCTGTGCACGAATGTTGCTGAAGTTTGAAGCAGAATCCAGATTGAAACTTTGCACTTTGACTTCATAAGCTGTATTTGGCTCCAGATGAGACAGAGTAAACTCCCGCTCACTTTCTCCCTCAACTGTCACCTGAAGATAGTCTCCTGCAGTGCTGGCTGGGCGATAGTGTACGTAGAAGCCTTGGGCAGGTGTATGAGATGATGCTGTGTACTGGAAGGAAAGAATGATGTTTAAGTTATGGATTTAAAAGAGAATTTTCATCAAACTCTAAGGGTCATTTTCATCAATTGGTAAAATAAGCAACTAGCTTCTGAGATGAAATATCAAAGTAGTGTGGATTTTGCTTGTATACTCAAATTTGCAATAATCTTGAAAACTGCTGTTAATATCATTCATATTACCTGACAAATTATAGAATATTTGGTATTCCATTTCAAAGAAATGGTAAGAATGTGGGACACATCTCACTGATCATCTTTCTTTTATGCTATCCCATAAAAAACCCTCTCTATGTTAATTTTTTCAAAAAAATTGTATCTTATAAAAAAGTTCAGGTGCTAATTGAATTTTAAATGCAATTCCTTTCACCAATTCATTTAAAGTAATGTTTTATAAAATGTGGTGTCATCTAATCAGTTTGGTTGTCATCTAAATCCGTGAAGTAAATCTGGTAACCTTACACTAAAGTTACTATACAGTTTTATATAAATCCCTTAGCTCCAATCAAAGGCTTGAATATATTAAGCTTGAGAATGTCCTGATTTCAAATTTGTTATCCTAAGGCACAACTACTGTTAGGGCATGGGCATCACCACCAAGGGGTCAAAGGGACACGTTCCCCTTTCCAATATTGCTGGTACAGTAGATCCTGGGATTGTGAGCATAATTTTTTCTAGAAGCAGGCTTGTAATAAAAAACATGGTGCTTTGAAGGAAATTTTCCAATAAGAAATAATTGAAATGCAGATAATTTTTGATGATGATCATCATCATACAAAACATACAGAATGAGTAATGCAAAATGCTCTGAGTTTTATATAGTAAAAATACAGGGACAGATGGCATTATAATGTTGACTCATACTACTGTTGTAACAGAGAGGTAGTTGCCCTTGAGGAACATGACTGCAGTGCTGAACTTTGCAAATCCATAACATCCAACTCCAACCCAGGGAATTTGAACTTAAGAAATGTAATGTCACGCAAGACAAGACCCACCCCTTCCTTTCCCTTTGACAATGTGAAGGAGAAACAATTTCTCACGCAAAATGATACAAGAAAGTTCTCCACCGCTACTTATCTTATATGCGTTGCCCAAGTATCTCGAACTATGAAACTGAATATAAGCAAATCTCTGTACACACATTTCCACTGCAGGGGGGGGGGGGGAGAGGAAAGGCTCACCAGTTCTACTTGCATTGCAAAGTATCGCTCATATATTGAATTAAAATATCTTTAAAATTTTTGTTTGTGTAGCAATACCCTCACAAACTAAGTTACTCGTATTCCATCTCCCACCAATACTTTGGTACACACCATACAAGCAGGTGTGGATCCACAGGGGAGGAAAATAGGGAAATATTCCCTCCCACAATTTTTCAGGAACTATTAATCATGTCACAAAACATTCAAGTAAAAATATTTTTGCATAAACATTAAAGTGAATAAAATTGTATCATAATATGAGCTGAGTTTAGCCTGCATCATTCTACATAATCTGTAATATGAAACATTTGACCAAAACATTTTGAATAAAAAAATTTCCCCACCCAAAATTTGTTTCTGGATCTGCCCCTGATACAAGTGAATGAGTATTTTAAACATCAAAAACATAAAACTGGCTCTTGTAATAATTTTTTGTATGGGTGCTTGCCACAATTATATTTTTAATTGAGAGAAATTGTCAATTAAATACACAAATATTTCTTCTAATGCTTTTTAGGAAGCCATGAATAATTTGTTCATTTGTATTATGTTTAATGTATCAGATTTTGAAGCCTCCCTGCCCATTCTCCAACTACCTTACAATGGTTTCAGGCTATTATTTACATTTGGTTCAAATCCTTTTATTGTAAATGTTGGACGTTCATTTACACTGTCTGCTGTACTTCTTATTTATATTCTTTGTAAAATATTGATTGCTTTCTCCTTTATACATTGTGGACAGAAGATGGGGAAAAATGCATATTTCCGAAAGATCGCACAGCAAATCATAGTTAACCTAGTTTTTGTGATGTGATTCTAATTTTTGTTTGTTTGTATTGATTTTTGTTTTTTATAAACTGTCTATCAAAGTGAACCCTGTGGCCAAATATATTTAATATATAAATAATATAATATGTATGAATGAGTATTTTGCATTATCCTTACCTCCCATCGGATGTGTAGAGCAGTGGGGCTCAGGGCTGTGGCATCTTTGAGAGTAGGAACAGCAAGATCATTGCCTACTTCTCCTCTTGCAAGCATGAACTTATCAGAAATTGGACCTGGTTTGTTATCATTATTTACATAAACAGCAGCAACTCTGAACCTACAAAAATAACAAAAGTCACATTGTTTACGGGGCAGAGATAGTTTTCAATTTTTATTATGGAATTATTCTTACCCTTCTTCCCAGAATTCATGTGGGTTACAAAACTTTTGAACTTATATTCAAGATTGTATTAGTTACAAATGCATAGACAATATGAATATGTAAGCAGCATAACTTATTTGTTGTCATTACACTCTTATTTGGAAGGAAGAAAAAGACAGCATTAAGGACTTCTTAATGTGTGGCTATTAAACCTTTTTAAACTCTCAAGCCAAAATGAATTGCTTGGTCCCCCATGTCCGCTCTCCACAATTTTTCAGGCAAAATAAATAAACTGAATGACTCAATCTACCTTCATTTTATTTAGGTCATTCACAACTCTTTGGGTGTCCAAATTTTGTAATTGGATTTTGTAAAATGTTACATTAAAAGGTTTTCATGGTCTCACTGAAAGCTCTCATGAAAAACTCATTTCAAATTCCCTCCAAAAGAAACTGTCTATGGCACTTGCTTCACATTTATTTAATCTCCCAAGTAATGTTATATACATCTTGTTTTTCGTTTAATGACATCAGATGAAGGACGTGAAAGAATAAGTGCATTGGTAAATGAACAAAGAGACAACTAACAAAGCACACAAAGAAACAAACAGACAAATTCTCAAAAGTGTTAAGTGCTAAATGCCCAACGACAGGAAACCTGTTTTAAGTGGTTCTAAAAAAAATGGTTGTTAAAACATGTCTGCTTAATAGAGGTAGAAATCAATGTAAATTCCAGTACTGGCACTCTTTCTGACAACACTGGTGGTTCTTTGTAGACTTGATTTCCATCTAGGAGAAGAAGGAAGTCGAGCAGAACAAAGAAGAGAAGGAGAACAAGGAAAATGAGAATGAGGAGAGGGACTACAGGAAAGAGAGAATAAGCGACAAAAAATTGGAGGAGAAGAAAAATGTATAAGGAGTAAAAAGAATGATGCGGAAATAAAATGAAAGGAATCTGATAAAAGAGGAACACGAACGGAATAAATAAGCAGTAAGACAGTCAAAAGAAAAAAAGCAGACAGAAAGATTGAAAAAGAATAGAACAAGAAAAAACCAACAAAAAATATCAAACGAAGAACTACAGAAGAACAAGTCAACAGAATGCGAGGGGAAGAAAAAGACGAAAGACAGAAGAAAAAATAAAAAGAAGGGAAAAGCTGATGGAATTAAGAAAAAAATATAGGAAAAAAGAAAAAAGAGAACGACACAAGGGAGTAAGAAGAAAATTTGCGAGACAAAAAAAAGTGTAGCAAAAAGCAGAAAGGAAGTGAGGAGGATGAGAAAATCGGAGGTGAGGATGAGGAAGATGGAGGAGGGGGAGGAGGGATGAAAGAGCAGAAGGAAGCGAGAAGGCGAAAAAAAGGTAAGCGTTAAAGAGAAGGAGAGACCGCTGGACAGACGAAGCAAAGGCAGCGCGCGAAGAGAAAGAGGATCCAGCCAGAAGCAGAGCAAGCCTGCTCAGCGCCTAACCCTTCTCGCGTGCGCGCCTCCGGGCGCTGCCTTGTCCTTGCGCCGGCGGCGCCTCTCTCCTCCTGCGCCGCATCGCGGTGGTGCGGCTTCATCCGTCCGGGTGGGACGCGGCGGCGGGGGCGGGGCGGGCGGGGCGGCGCCCGGGGGGACGGCGGCGTGGCGGCGGCGGCGGCTGCTGACGCGGTGGCGGGGGCGTGGTGGCTGGCGGGCCCGTTGGCACCTCGCCGCCCCGCGACCGCCGCCCCGCGCCTCGCCCGCCGAGTGCTCCGCGGCGCCTGCAGGGATCTGCTTCGGCGACCCTGTCGGGCCATTCATTCATGATTAGTTGATTTGTTGTAGGGTC